TGTATTGATCGTATTTGAATACATTTGTGAATTATGGATTGATCCGTCCGTTACAGGAACCTCTAAGGCAAACTGCAATTCACCTGCCATTCCAGCAAGTCCAGTTTTATCATTAAATTATTGCGTTTCACAATTTCATTATTACTTTGTGAGGTCTCGGTTTTTGTAGTGTTGTGTGGCTTTCTTTCTAGGTAATTAAAAATAATTTATTTTGGCATAAATAGGTCAGACATGCCAATTCAGCCGAAGATGGTAGGTCATTAAATGTATCAAAAAATGCTGATCGTCCTCGCACACCTGCATCTTGTGCATCGTAAGAATCACCATCGCACTTAACCCTGTCCAGGCATTCTAGGGAGTTGAAACGACTGATTGTAAATTCTCATTTATCTCAATGAAACCACATTTAACAAAACTAGCATCGCTAATTCTTCACTAGCAATAGTGCCCAGGTGGTGATTGCCGATCAGCATTTTTCAACGACGATAAATCCTAAGAATTGGGAGAGCATCGTTTGAGATTTGTGATGTTTCTGCAGTGAATTTAAACGTTCTTCACTGGCGGTTTGTCTGGTCTCAAAAACTGTTCTCGGTTACTGTGTAGAGTTTATTTTGAAAATGTGCATTGACAAAGTACCACTACTAATGTGTGAAATGGGACTCTCATTGCCTTTCAAATCTGGCGATATAATAAACCATTTGGAACAATTTCTTATGCTATGTTGTAGTCGAGTATACTTCCGCCTACTTTGCATAATCGTTCGGTTTTCTTTTCCATCTTTTCTTCCTCTCATTTGGAAGGTCTCTGTTCAGTCTCTTTCGATTGATTGTAATTAATTTTGTATGCATTATGTCTTTTCTACCAAATATACGAGGTTTCATTGTGTTTGTAGGCAATGAATCCAGTTTTCTTCACTGGTGAAACGTTTCCTCAGCCTTCTGGTCAACCGAATCCGGCCGCTGTGCGGCGTCTTCAGCGTGATTACGAAAAGCTTAGGCGTGAGCCCATTGATGGGATAGAAGCCGTTCCTGATGATGCCAATATTTTGGTCTGGCACTATGTGATCAAAGGATCACCAGACACTCCATATGAAGGTAAATATAGCGCTTCAACGGAATCGTTTATTCTACCGTAGCGTTAGTTATGACCTTTCAAACTTTTCAGGCGGCTACTATTACGGGAAAATATTGTTTCAGCCGGATTTTCCATGGAAGCCTCCTGCAATATGTATGCTCACTCCCAATGGAAGGTTCTGTTGCGAACTGTCATAATGTTTTCTTAGAGCTTCACGGTCAGGCTGTACAGTCATGTTAACAAGTCGATTAAGGTTCCAAACAAATATGAGGCTGTGTTTGTCGATTTCTGACTATCACCCCGAATCATGGAATCCAGGCTGGACTGTGTCATCCATTCTAGTTAAGTTAATGTTCATTACTCAACTTTCTTGAAGCATGAGCTGCTTCTAAGTCACATTCTGATTGTGCTCTTGGTGAGTAGTGCATCCGACCAATGATGTGATTGGATTGAATTGATGACTAAGCATTTATATGGCTTAATGTAGAAAACTGATTGCAGGTTGGACTACATAGCTTTATGAATGAAGAGTCTCATGCAGCTGGAGTTATCAACGAACCTTTTTCGAAAAGAAGGAAATATGCAGCGGAAAGCATGGCTTGGAATCTTGCGGTATTACTTCTTCTTCAAATTCTCAGGATTTACTGGAACATTCAGTTTCAGCGCTGCTAACTTTGATCCATCTGGTGATATTTGCGATGCTTTTAAGAAGTCTAAACTTCAAATTATGCGAGAATGTCAAAGGGATGAAGGGATTTTTCCCTTTTTTCTTAACAGCTTTTTCGTTTTATATGTTTGCGTATTTTTATTTCCACAATGTCATATCGATATTTTTAGTATCCGGGATTCAAAACACTGTTCCCGTCCATAGTGGCTGAGAGAGATAACGTCACCACGAAGAATTCATCAGCGTCATCATCTCGCAGCAATTCTAGCACGAATCAATCTAGTGGCGCAACCAACAGTCTCAACAGCAAATGGGATAAAGCGCCAAACACTCATGCACAGACGGGTGAAAGGCATGAAAGACGTGCCCACAAGCGCCTTGCTGACAATTCTGTTTCTGTCGAGCACTCGTTTCCCCTACCATCTCAAGCGAAATACGTCGAAATTATAGACTTATCGGATGACGAGTAGGTTTAATGAAAGGTTCTCTGATTAAATTTACGGATAGTTATCTTTTGCCTCAATTTCTGCTGTTGCAAATGTGCTTTACGCTTATTCGATCTGCTATTCGGTATTGCCCCGTTTATTCTTACTCACATGATGACATCGCTTTGATGCTATAGGGTTGGTAAGATAGTCGTTCTAGATTGATTCACCTCGTCCAACGGTGCGGTCATTTTTAGAATGAACTGAATTCCATCTCGTTTTAGTGGTCTTTAAAGCATTTAAGTATCCTTTGCCCATCAACATGGGCACTAGAAGTAACTGACTGTTTCATATGGAACAGTTACGAGCATTTCTCGACATGTTTTCTGAACTGTACAAGATTTGCGGTGGGCCCTTGGACACAGCGTCTGTGTATCTTTTGCGCTGTATTCATGGTTGAGGAATTTTTTCAGAATGGCTTTTAAATCAATGGCAACTCTAAGGCGGAGTCTATGGAATCAATTTGCATGCAAGAAATTCAAGAACCCATTATCAAAACAATAGCTCGCTCATCACAAGTCCTCTTTATTCGGAAGTAAAACCGATTGAAGCATAATGGTACCACTATTGTTATTGTTCAAGCAGGCAGAAGTGCTGCTCTTCCTCACTGAAATACCGAGCCTCCAGTTGTGGTGAAATACCGCCTTTCGCGACGCAAGAGCGAATGCAGCTACAGTTTTCTTGCCAACCCTATGGTTAACCATGTACGCTTAGACGCAGTATGGTTTGTTTCTGGCCATTCTCAGTAAATCGCTTTTGCACAGTCTTATAAACCCTCATTCCTTCATGTACAGAGACATTGTTTCTTTTTTATAGATATGTTTTGTGGTGTATTACGCGCGCTTCGAGTAATTGGCGGCTCTGTATGCATTCACTGACTGTTATTGTTTCTTGTATGTTACATATACCTACATTCGCTTATTTGCTAAATAATTCTTTCTTTGAGCTTACCTTTGGTAAGAATTGTATTGTATCTTGTGTAGAGGAAATTTATCACCTGTAAGCGAAAGCTTTAGTTTCTGTATTCGTGTGTACTTATTGCTGTATATTGGATTTACTAGTGGTTAGATTTTATCAACAGAGTTTTATGTAGCTTTTGTAAAATGTGGTTGAAATACGGTTCCAGCATCATGGAGACTATTCAGTCATTTCATGATTCAATGTACTGGTTTAGCGTTGTATTGATGGCTAGTATCATTTGTGCTTATCATTTTTGCTGAGCTTCTTGTTAAGTTCATTTTTACTCTTCTGCCGTGGTTAGTGGTTACTTGCGTTAGTTGAAATGTTTCTTAGAATGCTTTCACAGTTCAGCGCCTGTCAGCCCAAATGCCTTACAATGTGCATTGTTATTGCGGGCTTAAAGTCGACATGCATTAGGGCAGGCGAGCACATTGAAATGTGAAAGCGGTTTGGGAACCACAAAAAACGGTTTGTAATGATATGTACTGTTTAAAAAGATATTTTCACTAATTTCAAGATCGTATGAAGAATTTTATACATGGTTATGAAGACGTTTCGTAGAGGCGTTTGTTTTTGCTTTTCAAGGGTTTTAGTGAATACCCTCATAGTATCTCATTTGTTTTTGTGTGTATGCATCACTCAAATTAAGGTTCAGCGACGGCTTAAGTATGAAACAGCGCTTTGTGATTGTGTGTACTTGACTAGTTGACTTGCCAAAGAACTAAAAGGCAAAGGAACCACTGGTAAGCTCAGAGTATGGCCCGGAGCGAGACCCAATTGCGATGGTGGCTCTCTTCCATGGGGATTGTGCTGATCCACGTACGAAGCCTCTAGCGACCTTTTCACGCATTTGAGTCGCGTAACTGGGTCTATATCTGTGGTTGCTGACCCGGCAATACTGTTTGCAGAATGGGTCGATCCAATGACAAAATCGCGAAATGGGCTTCATAGAACTGTGCTTTGCGGTTTCAGTAGAAGAAGTTTCAAAATTCTGATACACTATCTTCAGCGCTCATGTTGTTGCGAAGGGGGGATGAACATTTGAGTGAGTGAACATTGCGCTTGGGACCAAGTTTTAGGAAGAGTGGATTGTGGGGGAAGAGTGGATTGGAGCAATTTATGTTCTCCATAGCGTTTCTCCTCTATCCTGCCCTTATTCCTAGTGTCACCTACCATCGGCCCTTTCTTAAATGTCCTCTCTAAGGACGTGAGCGCCCTACCTTTCGTTCAAAGTAGAGGAATGAAAAGGCCTAATGCCCCTCCCATAACTCAACGCTAGTGTTTGGCTCATAACCTCAAAAGTGGTGCGGGTCAGGAGATCTCGATTGCGATGCTTCATCAAAATAAGGTCACCGCGCGTTAGGCAGCAGGATTTCATCTTCGTTGCGATCTCTAGTACCGTCTACAGTCGCTTATTCTGTTTGGCTTTGGCTCGAAGCACAGCTCAAGCCGCTAGCCTTGATTGTACTGCTCTAATCTTTTGTCTGCACAAGCGTTTGAGCACCACCCGGCAAGGAATTAGGTCTGTACTGTATGTTCTTCAATCTCCACTCACGGACAGTCACAGTCGACAAAGTCGATACATGGTTGCGCCACGCGTTCATTTTGCAGTGACGGTTTAGTGTTTTTGGAACTTCCAGCATCAGTCATTAGCGTCCGCGGAAAGGGAGGGGCTGAACAGTATTTGATCCGGGTTTGGTACCGTGCCATACGTGCCATGCTACCCAACCTTAGCCTTACGCGCTTGACGGGTCAAACCCTGGACGAATTCCATTTAAGTCAACTAAGCTTCTTTAAGAAGAGTATTGAACGCAGTGGAGTGTCGATTCACATTCTGCGATTTTGAATGGAAGGCAGTTCTCATCCGACCTCATTTCATTTTATGCGCACTTCATCTCCCCATTAATTCCGATACTAGCCTAGTGAGGTTCGCGTCCCACACCCAATGAGTAGGGGACATATCGACCATCAGCGTATCGTTTCCACTCCATCCGCACATAATGAAGCCTTTAGAAATATACGGCCTTGCTTCGTTGGTGCGATTACTGACTAAATTGTTCAAGTTCCAGTCGTGATATGTCGATTTTTTCCTCCATTGCAAGAATCACACATATATGGTCTGTCGCATCGTTACGCTACAGCCCCGAGCTTAAAGAAGGACTACAGCCAAGGCTGCTGAAGGAGACCGGCTGCCATACGTTCGGCCAGCAGCCAATTAACAGGAGAAATATCCGTCGAGATGCGCAATACATAATATATGCGGTGCGCCGAATTTCCGTAGTGTTATAGGTTGCAAATATTTCGAAGATCAAAGGTGTCATACAAATGGATAAGGAGATCCAGGAAAACCGGGTGTGGTTCACTAGGACAGAAAGCGACTTTTTCGCGTTTCGCAGCGCGAAACATTTTTCGCTGCGGGAACCTCAGGTCCACCGCTGATCATCAGTGGACCCGAGTTCCCGCAGCGAAAATGTTTCGCGCTGCGAAACGCGAAAAAGTCGCTTTCTGTCCTAGTGAACCACTCCCAGGAGAACCTGCCTTATCCTGTTCCCTTTTTTTAGCACAAGGGTTATTACAGCTTCCATCTTGAAAAGTGAACAAACCGGGTCATTCCTTTTGGGTAGGGCATGTGCCAGATTAGCAACCGTCGCGCGAATAGCTGGCGATTGGTGCGAATCACCAACGAATCGCTTGCTAGTCGAAGTTTGACGGCTGTCCAAAACTTTAAACTGGTCTACGATAACAGTTAGGTATGCACTATGTGAACGAAATGCATCCTTGTAAGTCAGTTGAGATAATTTGATTAAAGTTCACTTTTTTCTCTTTCAGTTTCTTTTCTTCTTTCATATTTACTTGATCTTCAGGAGGTGTCTACCACGGTAAATTGGTCTTCCCCAGCGACTTCCCCTTCAAACCGCCGTCGATTTACATGATTACGCCGAGCGGTCGTTTTCAAGTGAACACTCGACTGTGCTTATCTATTTCTGATTTTCACCCGGATACATGGAATCCGGCATGGACGGTAAGATTTGCCACTTTAATTATCAACGATGGCTTCTTAATCCAGTTATTCAGGTGTCAACGATTATTACTGGTCTTTTATCCTTCATGAACGACACGGCACCCACATTAGGTAGCATTCACGTCATCTGATGCAGAGAAGAAAATACTTGCTAGGCGCAGTAAGGCCTTTAATTTGAAGGTGAGTAGACCCACTGAAAATTGTATATATCCGGTTTTGAAATTGTGGTGAAATCTGGAGTTTTTGGGCGCAATGCCTAAGTATTGATTTCGACCTGGTCTGCGACAAGGACAATGAAACATCACACTAGATGTTTTCAAAATTAAGCTTTCAGTTTTAGTAAAGGCGCATTTTTGAATGCGAATCCTTGGATTTTGAATTGTGTTGTCTAACTGCGCTTGACTTCGACCAAATCTACTCTAATTCACTCAAAGGCCTCATGTTAAAGACCTACTCTTCTATAATTGAGCGACCATTAGCAGTTTATTGCCCACAGGAGTGGGTGGAGCCAGTTCTTTAACGAGTAGGAAAGGTCATGCCTTGAAGATTGCTTCCAGTGGCCACTGTGTTGAGTTCAATATGTAGTGAACAACGCTCCATATTTAGGACCGAGTGTTTTGTGAGCTTTTTCCGGATGTCGCTGAGGAAATAAGAAAGAGTCTTAAGTGAAGCTAATACTGCAGAAGAAGCCACGTTGAGGGAGGAAGAGGAACGGTTGAGAAGGTTAGTTCCCGTTTCATATTGATCATTACATTAATTTCCGATTTTTGTGTTCAGGTGTGGATTCACATTCTGTCACAAGTTAACTTTTCAGCTCCTGCTTCAGCCGGTCATATTTTCTTTCTCTCTTTTCTCAAATAGAGCAGTCATTACAATCTACGTTTTTCGAAGAATATTTCATAACTTTTATAATCTTTTCTCCACCTCACTATCTTCTTCGCTTCTTTAGAATACTAGTCGAGATCTGCTCCAGAAAGTTACGAGCGAAATGGGTGTTTCTTTTGCAAATTGAGGGCTATGTTGGTTATGGGGAAAATTGTAGAGCCTTGACAATAAATTAGGGAGGACAAGATTGAGGCCGCGGAATTGCTCACCATGGAACAAGTTGGCGAGTTGCGAATTTCCGCTAAACCGCGAGGGAATTGCAACAGTCCTCTGTAGATAATACGAGATCTCTTTCCTCCATTAATAATTATACCTTTGTTGGAATATATTATATTCATGATAAGTATAAGCTGGACGTTCAGCAATCTTAATTCGTTGCAATAGCGGTTTTTGTTTCTTTTGCATACCAAGACCAATTTTAGTGCCGCCGAGCCGTCGTCGGGCCTTTCGTCGCTTGTGTCGAATCTAATTGTGATTGCAGGCGTCGTGGTGCTTGCGTTTGCAGTTAGATATATGATCCATGCTGCACAAGAGCAAGATTCACATTACAAGTAGCTCTATTAATTCGTACACGTACGTGTATCCGATTACTCTCTTCTATTTTTCCTTGATTTCTCATTTCCCCGTCAAAAGGTATGCTCCTCTTCACCGCTAGGTAACCCAATACATGGTTCTATTCTTCATAAATTATCAATTATGTGGTCGCTCGTGAATCGTATAACGGTATGTTGTTGTTGGGTTATTCGTTTCTTTTTCTAGCTACTGTTTAGCAGTACGATATTCCAGTCGGATATGTGATAATTGATGTTTTCTTTTTCATTGTTTACCATAGCCTTCATAGTTTTGCTCGTTTCACCTTCAAGAAAACCACTCGGTTTTCAGATTGTTTCCGCTTTGTAGGGGTGCTTTGGGTTCACAATCTACTTTGTGTTTGGGTTTGATCTCTGAATTTTGAAGGCTTGCTGTGCAGAAAAAACGCACAGAATTAATGGTAACCTCCCTCGTTGCGTGGGACAGTTTCCTTTAGGGGGGGGGGGTTGTCCTAGAGTCAGAGTAATGAGAAGTTTTCCGGCTTAATTTTGCTGAGGAAATTTCATGACCAGTCCAGTAGTAAGCTGCTGCTGCGCTTCAGGAGCTGAAGCTCATGGAGCTCAGTGGTTACAGCTACACTTTCTAGGCCTGTAATACAAACGCGGTCGTAGGTGGTGTTTCTCACTCATCTAAGATAACCTATGGAACCAGAGTGTGACTGTATTTTGGGAAAAAAGGCATGAAGTAGGCCTCGTTCCATGGGCGCGATAAATTTGAGCGATAGTGTACGCGGCATGTACGGTGAATGGGCTTGTTGTGAAGTTTCCCTTTGTTGAAATCCTTCTTTATCAAACACTTGGAAAAGAATTATGCTTTTCCTTCATTATTTCGGTAACCTAGATGTGAATGAGGAGGACACTACTCAGAAAAAAAGGCGTGTTGATCTTTCTGGTCAGAAGGTGAATCATAGTAGTGATAGGGACAAAATCCTAGGTGAAGTAGATGAGAATCAGAATGAGTAATCAAAGCGTCTTGAAGATTTTTTTGGTGGTTTTTGAATGGTTTTTTCATTTGAAGACGTGAATTGGGGTATTAAAAAATGACCTATATGTGTATAATATCGCAGATCGTTTTGTTAGACAGCATCGTTAAGGTACACAATGATGTGTACAATGAGATGTAATGACACATCGTTTGTTTCAGTTCTTCATTGTCTTGCCGTCGTACGGTTTTGGTGATGCCTCTGAAATATCCTCGTTCCATCGTTTTGTGTATGTGTGCTATCTTAGCTATAGCTTCATCATGATACTTTCTTTTCACAATGAATTACTGATGGTATTGCTGTTCTAATAGCGTTCCAACAATTACTAGTACCGTGTATGTATTCACTGATAAATGATTATTAGATCATGTGATCAAATTATACTGGATATGATAACAATAAAATTTTAGCATCGATTTCACTTACTGTTATTCAATTGTGTATTTGATTCAAAAATACCTCCGTGTCATTCTGAAAACATACTTTCGCAAAGCGGCTTCTCCGCTCCGTGACATCTTGATGCAATTGCACATCGCGATTCTCCCTTCTACAGTATCTTACCTTCTACATACTGCTATAGCCCTAATAGGATGTTTGTTAGTGTTGCTGTTCAGCCCGGCATTTGCCTCTGTTGTTCCTTCCTTACTAGTCCTTTTGCCTCCTGATGGGTAGAGGCGCCTGGTATGCAACGAGGAGCTGAACAAAACAGTTCGCCCAGGTAGGAGTCGAAGCGGCCTATCGTCCAGGCGGAATCGAATCGAGATCTTTTTTTTCGATTCCTGCCTAAGGCGAAATGTTCTGCTGAGCTCGGCTCCCTTGTGCAACTTTCGCATGGCGAACTTGGCCGAAAACAACACTTAATCAAAAGCATGTCTGTGCATTTGCAAAGTGGGCGGGACGGTTTTGAGACGTTGCGGTTTTTAGGTTCGAGCCTCACTATTTTGCACTAGCTCACCGTCCTGCCGCACTAATTACCTAGCTGTGTTCTTGCAGCCTGGCTCATACTTTCTGGTTAGTGCATTCGGTTTCCCACGAAGTGCACGTCCACGTCTTATTCTGTAAGTACAACCCAACCAACCGCTTTTAATGAACACTGGATCGCGCTCTGAATAGAGTAAGGGTCGTTAACGGGGTGGCGATTAGCTGTGACTTCTCCTGGAGAAAACGCCAATTTAGTTTTAGACTACTATTTTTGTGCTCTTATAATGCTCCTAGTGTAGGCTCCAAGGGCAGCATATAGTTCCGGGCCAGTAAGGTATGCTTCCCCCAACGGAAAGCGGACGCTCTCCTGAGTAAGTGCTCTGCAAGCTCTCGGGAAACAGGCCATGCGCCATCGGTTCTTCAGGGGTGCTTCCGAACTGCATGTCAGTCCGAGAGATATCCTGGGAACTGGTGGGCGTAGCCTTTGCCCGAGCTCCCTTCTTCTAGATGGCTCAAAATAGAATTGACAAGACATGCTTAACTACAACTTCGAGAAGGGAACAGGAAGCTTTGATAGTCTATAGAATGTTGCTTATAACCTTTCTTTCAGATGTCTTTCCTTCGTAAATATTTATTGGGAGCCATTGCAGTATGTATAATTTGTACCTTAGTGATCACTTATAATTGCTCATGCGAATCTGGAAATGGATCTTACAGTTACATGCCGAAGCCAGCAGCTCGAGGTCTGGTTTTTTCCACCCTTCTCATTTCTCATGAACTGCTTTCACTTCACATCATCGATGCACGTCTTCAAGAGGTGTACTACTTAGCGTATACCCAATAGTCATTTTGCAAAATGCTCTTGTTAAATGGAGAACGGATGAGTGAAAATAGCGGTGGTACCGTACAGGATTCTTGACTACGCTCAATAGTTATTTCCAGCACCATCAGCTGAGGCACAGACCGCGTTACCGGAGACGTTTCTTCTGATCGCCATTATGTCCGCTCCGAATGAAAGTGATGTGAGAGCGGTGATACGAGATACATGGTTACGATTGTCACAGAAAGGGCCGTCAGTGGTACAGCACCGCTTTCCCATAGGAGGAAAAGGTCTGAGGTAAGGTTGGTCGCACCTCTACTAACTTAATATGACTGTATGATGACTGTATGAACCCTCGCAAGACAACCAGAGACCCCTTTTTGGCTAAATTTACAAGTGTATTCAAGATTTTGGGGCTCTTCTCTGGTGTCCTCCTACGAATTCTTTCAAGTCTATCATGAGGAAGTTTGAGACGAGTACATCGACTCATTCAAAGCGTTTTTCTAGTGAATCAATGCGACAACAACTTGAAGAGGAGCAGAAGACTTACGGAGATGTTGCGATAATAGAGAATTTGGAGGAGACGTATTCGAATCTGGCTCTCAAGACGTTGAGAACAATGGAGTACGCTTACCAAAACTTCCGTTTCCAGTATATCCTGAAAGTTTGTTCCTCTTCTTAGCGTTTCAAAAGATGCCAAATTTGTGCAAGGTCTACTTTTTCCAGGTGGACTCGGACTCCTTCGTACGTTTAGGAGCTTTTATCAAATCACTGAAGGATATTCAGCATCCTCGTTTATATTGGGGATTCCTCGACGGCAGAGCAAAACCATTTCGAAAAGGCAAATGGCGTGAAGCCGACTGGATGCTGTGCGATCGATACCTGCCATATCAAGTAAGTCTTAATCATTTCTGTCGAGAGTGGTGATAGTGGCAATTAACTCAGATGTAGGTCAAGTCCATTTTTGACGAAAAAATTCATGGAGCATCCGGGAAAGGGGATGAACAAACTACTGGTTGTCAAGATTTGAGAAGTTTTCAAATTTTTCCTTTATTTACCAAGGCGGAACGAATCAGGCACACAGAAGGCATGGAGGTGAAATGTTAAGTAATTTGTTGCTTCGGTAGGAATGAACATTTCGGTTTCAAGCGATTTCTGGAAGATTTTTATGATTCTGGCTTTCATTCGATTTCAATGTACATTTGAGGCCTCCTCTTCCCTACCAAATTTGGAATCTCCTTATATGCTGAAGGAGGGCTTGATTCTATGAGGAATAAGCTGAGGATTTTGTCTCGTTGCGAAGTGGCCAGAACTCTTGTTTTGAGTCCACTGGTTTTTAAAATCATTTTATATGTTCGGAAACTGATCGCACATGCTCACTCTCAAGACAGAGCGGTCGAGTATGGTATCGCGACCCGCCTACCGTGGAAACATCACGAGACAGCTCATAATTACTCAATATCAGTCGCGGTGGAATACGCCTCGTCACATATAACATAGAGGCACAAAATTCCCCCCTTGCGCTCAACTGCTCGATCAGTCAAAGATGTAAAAAATGCAAGAATGTTTCGTTGGAGCATGGCTGGCCGGTAAATTTGTTGTGTCTCGTGTTTCTTCTTATTCGCAATCTCATTTCTTGTTGCCTTCTAGGTCTAAACGTCAAATACGTTCACGATTCCCGGCTTGACACGGAATGGATATCACGCGGCTGTACTAACGAGTAATCTCAATAACCGACATAAAAAGTCTCCTGCGATCTATGGCAGAAAATTACAATAATATGGTGGAGTTATGCAGCTTTCTTCTATTATCAACCTCTGCAAGGTGACTTGTGTGGGTGTTAGGTTGATAGTTAGTCAACCTAAAAAAAAGAGTATGATATATTTTATAGGACGGTATCCTTGTTATAAGTTATTTGCCTCGTCCATAAGTGTGTTCCCCGGATCAGTGAAGATGAAAATTCCATTCCTTTTCAACTGCTTAACACCCCTTTCCTCGGCACCATTGCCCTCAAACAGGAATTTGTCCGCCTTCAACAAAGATAATTGTCGAGAAAAGCCGGCTTATTTAATTAAAACGTCCCCATAAAGCTTGCTAAGGTTTAAGACCTCCAACAACGCTACAATACATATCATTCTCGCTTATTTTTTCCACATGCAAAGAAGTAAATTCAGGCCTGGAGCCTCAACAACTGTCCTTTCTCTCAGTAAATATAATAATCTGCTCTTGTTATTATCCTCGAGGAATCCCAAATGTTTATCATTTGTTCTTGTTTTTAGCTCAATCATCGTGTTTTGTGTGAGAAAGAATATCGCACACGTTATTCGTATGTTTATGACTGGACAGCACTACCGAGTCAATGCTGTCAGCGATTAAACGGAACGAATATACCGTAGTAGGTTGTTTTTCCCTCGTTCACGATTATTGGCTCACCAGTTCCAACTTTCGATCATTTTGAAGATGTGAAGAAGATTGGAGGCAAAGTTTCCGTTCATATGCTTCATTATGTTATTATTGCGACTGTTTATTCTTTCCAGCGTATTTGTACCTGCATTAGTTTCACACAGTACATTTTCGTCTATTCATTCGAGCCGAAGGTTGTCTGGTCGAAGTCTTTCCATTGGCGACGATTCTCCATCTGTCGAGATCGCAAAATAATAATATAATGAAACTTAAGAGATAAGTTAGATAGAAGAGGAATCCACCATTGGCCCGTCATTTCTGCATGGCAAGGCGCTGTTAGGAAGCTCGTTCGAAGAGCTGGGTCAGGCCTACAGCTAACGTCCACAGAAGCACCTACATATAGCGATTATGAATTCATGGATACTCTGAGTCTCTACATCATCTGAGAGCTTTCCTAATACCCTCCATGCGTACTTCTCTAGTCCCAGTCCACGCGCACGTGTTTCGCCGTAGCACGGTTGCAATGCCTGATAAATGCAAATCGTGAACTATTGTCGGGTGCTCCGATCGTTTGTTGGCGTTTATCTATGGCGTGTGCCGCTTAGCCACGTTAGATTTTTCTTCTCAAGTTCGTGCTCTCACCCATTGCTGCCACCAACGTGTTTTTACTGGTGGGGGCGGTTTGCATTTCAACGCACTAAGAACCAGTAATTTTCCCTGTAGCACTGGCACTAACGTTACTATTCTTTGGATCACTATTGTGGGTAATCGGTTTCCCACCGCTATTAACCCCGAGGCTCAGGAAATCTATGGGTCATTAACATAAAAGAAAATCTTGAGGCAGTTCTGTGAAGCCTGTCTTGGCTTTGTGCGTCGTGAAATGCAGTATAGACATAGCAACAGTGATGCCCGCTTACAGAGCGCAACGCTGTTCCATAGAATCCATACATCTGGAATTATTCTCTGCCCGACCACCCCACGCATTCCTAAAATAAAAAACATCCGGTAAGTTTCTTGGGACCACCCTTGTTTAGGAGGGTGCTGGACTGTATACCGGCTGGCGGCCATAAGTCTCTGCATAGGCCAAATTGCATTTTAATTGTCACACAATCCAAATGTCAAAAGTCAGCTCAGATGGAAGTAAAAGAGAAAAGCGCAAATGTAAATTACAAAATATGCATTGACAAACGCCGGTATAGCTGTACCCTTTGTCTGCGCCTCTGTTTAGTTGCCTGGTAGGACCAAACAAAATATTAATATGCTTAAATCGAGGGAGCCAGTAACCAAGTGCGAAGCTGAAGGAATCGCTGATGCTAAGGCTGGTGTCAGAGTCCGCGATTCGATTTTCGCGATTTGCGCGATTTTCGCGATTTGTCGCGATTTGTCGCGATTTTCGCGATTTCGCGATTTTCGCGATTTTCGCGATTGTCGCGATTTTCGCGATTTTCGCGATTTTCGCGATTGTCGCGGATTTGCGCGATTTTCGCGATTTTTCGTGCGAATTGCGCGATTTTCGCGATTGGTCGCGATTTTTTGGATTGGGTCCGGCGATTTTTGTCGATTGTCGCGATTTTTTGCGCGATTTTCGCGATTTGCGCGATTTTCGCGATTTTCGCGAAACCTGCGATGGATCACAGGAGTTGGAAGTGCCCGATGAATACTGCGAGGTGTTGTTTAATCCTGCTGCGAATTCTGCTTGGCAGTAAAGATTGGAAGACGAATGTTTGTGGTTCTACTTGTTTCATGTTCAATGTCTATTAGTTCATTGAAATGCTCTTGAATCGTTCCTATTTTTTTTTTCAGGAATCAAACCAAACCAATCACAAAAATTGCAAGTGCCCCATTTGAACAATTGAAACACTGGATATGAAACAAGTGGAATCATGAGCAGTCTCCATTAAACCATAACCATCAAGCAGAAGTGACGGCGGGATTGGAGAACACCTTGCAGTATGGATGGGGCACTTGTAATTTCCGTGACCCGTCGCGCAAATCGCGAAAATCGCGAGCAAATCGCGAAAAATCGCGCAAATCGCGAAAATCGCGACAATCGCGAAAATCGCGACAGATTCGCGATAAATCGCAACAATCCGCTGCAAATCGCGCAAAATATCGTCGTCAATTCGCGAAAATTGCTGACATATCGCGACCCCTGCAGAATCAATCGCGCAAATCGTCGCAAAATCGCGACAGAATCGCGAAAATCGCAAGAAATCGCGCAAATCGGCAAATTAAAATTCGCGACTCGTGACCCAGCCTAATAATGTCCTTACCAGAAATAGCCGACAGTTCCATATAACGTGTCGGGCCCATACATTCGGCCAGTAGCAATATTCTCAGTTTTTGAGCTAATGGCACAGAGTGCTTTATTTTTTAGGCAGCTATGTATCTATTACATATAGTAATGCCTTGCCTAGTGTAAGAAACTTGTTTGCGCTTTAAATGGAGTAATTCACATACCGCTTTGTAGCAGCGGCGTGTATTACCATGTCCGCAGTAATTATCTTTTCCAGTGCTTAAATCGAGCTTACGATTGTAAATGAAGGTGAAGGGAGATTTCGGTAGTCAGGTTTATTGAAACCTGAAATTTATGATCTCATCCATAAGTGTTATGAGTATTGGAGCATTTCTTAATGTCTTGTTATATTATTGTAATGTTTCCTCAACGATATCGAAAACCTTGTCAGTGTTTGAGCACGTTGTACTTCTAGGATGTGCGGCTTAATGATTTTTGATAAGGCCTACTTCATCCTTTGTTTGCCAGGTTTCATTTCCACAGGTTCTTCGGTGCATCGATCATTCTCCAATTTCACTTGCATATTCACAGCATACTAGTTTTCCCATTTTTGGTAGAGTATTCTACGTCATTAATTTATTCCTACGCCACGTCACGGGTCTTGCATTGTGTATTTTGTTAATGCTGCGGAAATAAAAGTCTGTTGTTGTTGGAAGTTATTTCGAACAGGGTTTGCACCTGATATTGGTCTGATATAAATCCATTCCAAAGACTCTTGTAAGGTATGCGTTTGATTTTGATTGGTCATTTTGCAGTGTTTATTTACACTTTATGTAACCGTTGCCGAATTGGATCGGCCCAATGGACGAACATGCAGTTTTGGGGCACGTTCACTGGCTGCAACCCAAAGAGAAGTAAGTTATTCTCCGCGTTTTTGATCCTTTTTTTGCATACCTGTTGGTCACCAGTTTGAAAAAATGTTTTTAGCTCTTCCTGGCGGAGACAGTTGTATTTCTTGCTTTGATATGGCTTAAGAAAATGTTTCGTTGCCTTGATGGGTTTGTTCTTTGGCGAAGTTCAACACTAGCCCATCAAAATTACTGGTTTGGATTTCTCCTCACCATATTTAGCTTTTACATAGAGCGTTTTGTAAATTTTTTCTGAGCAGTAAACTTCAGCGCAGCAAGTGTCAGGTTTGTGCGAATCGATCGATTTGCCTAGATCCCGCGGCGAGCTTCGAGCGGCCAGGAAATGCTGCGTTTTTGTGTAGCAGCCACGCGACCGCGGACGCCTAGCGACCTCGCTCGCGTTCCGCAAGTTCTACTGCGCCCTTATGCTCTCTTGGAGTATATTGGAATCAAAAATCGTTGAGTTCAATGGAAGCAAACATTCAGGTTCAAATTTGTGTTGGATTATTTATTTCTTGTAGTACCAGGACTGCTAGTTATGACAGTATTCTCACAATCACTGTTATTGCTGACATGTGTGCTGACCACATGCTTGGCAACTCTTCTAGTTTTCATAATTTGTGAATATCTAATCTCACCTGATCGGCCTGCTGTGAAGTTGGTACTGAACAGAATCATCGACGATAACCAACAACCAACGACGTTTGTTACGTATTTCAGGTCAGTTTAGTTAACAACTCCGAATGTTCCCTCTTTAAGTGAAAGCTCTTTTAACTAGAATCTCGATGTTAAATTTCAGGGCTACTATGTTGCTCTCAGTGGCCACTGCTATTTTAGGTGTGGATTTTCCAGTTTTTCCCTCGACGCTTTGCTAAAACAGGTAGGAATTTTTTGTGGGAAGGTATTCTTTTATGTTTTTCAGATAATACTGGTTTTTATTCGACTGTTTAGTTTCATTGAGAATAAGGCCAGTTTTTTAGCAGTCACTTATGAGGGCTGCTCTCACAGTATGCTTGCTTTCAGAAAAGTATGGTCACAGTCTGATGGATGCTGGTGTTGCTGGGTTCATATTTGCGTTAGCTATCACCAGCCGTCTGAAGTCATTGAATAGCTGGGATGGAAGCGTTCAGCGTAAAAGGTAAGGTTTTTTTCTCGAAACCACCATTGAACTTATCTGCTTCAGTGCTTAAAATTACATCAAAGAGGTTTCTGCCACCATCATATAGAGCTTGTGCTCAGGGATAGGGACAACAAGCCGCACCTGCGCAACTCTAGTTGTCCTTGCATTCTGCCGAGTAATATATTGCGAAGAGGAACATTAGTGAAAAAAGCAGAAAGCACACAAAAACAATGAAATTCTACCATGAGCTCGGTGAGGTTAAAGAGTGACGCAGCGCTGCTAGGAGAGGGAAAGCGCGTCGTACGCGAGAGGGTGCAAGCGCTACGTGTGCCGCGATTTACAAGAGTGGCAGCGGTCGCAGCGGTTAAGCGAAGGCACTAGCTCCCTTATCGCGCACTTTAAAGTCGGGACAGTACTACCACCCCCGTGATTAGGGGTCTATCTCGGGGAGAAAGAATCTCGCTGAGGACTCAGTCGAGACCCGTGCCTTCAAGACGATCAAAAGCTCATCAACGACTATTTTCATTCCTGTGGCCGGTTTTCTGAACGCTTCGTAATAGGGTTTTGTTATACCTCTAGATGCCTTCTTTACCCCGGCTCAGTGAGAGCATTTTTTACTGTTCATAGATGAGTTATTATTTATCAATTTACAGTCGTTACTCGTGGCTTCGATCGTCGTTCGTCGTACTACCAGTGATAGGATTCGCACGAACGGTTTTGCTGACCGTATTAAACTATCCGCAGCATGTAACAGAATATGGCATTCATTGGAATTTTTTCTACACTCTAGCAGTAGTGAAGGTTTGTTTTTGTCGCTGTTTGTTCACATGGTACGAATCGGTCCTTCTTTCTGCCTTTTGATTAGAACTGCGCATAAAAGGTAGTCTCGTTTGACATGAGTGGAGCATCTGCGAGCTGGACGCAAACGGGCATTAAAAGCAGCGTGTGCGATAGCTGAGTGGCAAAGAAAGTTGGACACTGATTGGTGGAAGGGCGTCGAGAGGTGATATAGCTCGCTACAGGAATTGTGAGCACCACTCGCGACGTGCCCGTTAATAGAGAGAGTCCTAGTCTCGGTGCTACCGCCGCCAACACCGCTACTGCTTCCTTCAAGGTAAACAATGTGCATGCCTCTCAGCGCCTGACCGCAGACGGCCGCCCCAAAATGCTACGCCCACTGCGGGAATCCTGTGGAGTAAAGGAAGGACTTCTGTAGGCTTCTATTTCAACGAAGTTATGAGGTTTTTGCGTTGTCATTTCAATTAATCTTATAAATTTAGGTTGTTTCTCAAATCCTACCCAAGAGATTTCCATTTTTGTGGGCCTGCCTTTTCGGAATTTTCCAACAGACTATGCTCATGAATGGATATCAGGTAAATAAGCATTGGCCTTGTTAAACCGTTTGCCTAATTCGTTGAACGCTTTCGCGTTTCTAGTATTGTCAGTCTGTAGATCATGTGCCTTTACAGTCTCGACATTATTGAAGGTTCGGAAATAGAAAATGAGTGAATGGGAAATCGGTCAACTGCGATTCTATCTCTGCGAGATATTTCGTCTTCCCTTTACTTGATCCAATTTTTGAATTTTTTTTACAGGAATGGATCATTAACGGAGAAAATCCACGAGACACTATCTTCGCAGCTAATGCCGAAGGGATTTGTTCACTTATGGGATACATAACGATTTACTATATGGCTGACTCATTGGCGGTCTTCATTTCTAGAACGGGGTAAGTTACCGATCTGTTCTAGTCCTATCATTGCTATAAAAAAATCATGTACGATTTCGCAACAGTGCAGCTTTGTTTGGTGGAAAAAGTGGCTGTTATTTAACACAGAGTAGTGTAGGCCTTCATGAAAATGAACCAAATCATATTCAGAGACCAAAAAGAAAGAATCTCCCGAACAAGAATCATATCCTTTTCAACATTTTACGCCTCGAACTCTACAACATGGCGCCTTCTTGTGGGTGCAAAGTTTTCTGAATTGCTATTGCTTTAAAGTAGAGCAGAAAATGAAATTTCAAATGAAATGAAGTCATGTGTACAGTTCAAGGTCAGGAGGAGCACTCCATAATACTATAGAATGAATGTTTTATAGTTTCCTTACGTATGCTGTATTACTATATTCCTGACATGGCCGGCTACCACACAGTGAAGATAGCGACGCTTTCACCTCAAAAATCAAGTGAATGCTAACTTCCGTTTAGTATTCGAGTAAAATCGTGGGTAGAATGTTGTTGGCGGCTCTACATATTCTCGTTGATCTTCTACCTAATGCAATTAGGAGCTGAGTGGACTTTGGGACAGCCATCTCGACGGGTCGTTAACATTGCCTACATTTTTCTGCAGTATGTTTCTCATTTTTTCGCCTTTTTTCTTGCAATTGATTTTTGAGAAAGAAAGTTTGCAATCAGTGAAATGCCGGTAAGTGGCGGGACTGTCGAAGGGACGAGAGATAGACTACGGCTGAGGGACGCGGGGAAATGCGGGTTAGCGGTACTTAAGTCGCGAGGCGACAGCTGCGAGTAAGACGGGTCCTAGGAGCTGATTAGCTAGGAGCATTCTCCGCGGTGGGCTTCGAGTGGATTTTTTTTTTTCGATTAAAGATCAGCAAGTTGCTGCATTATTTTTGTGTACTGAGGCTAAGTATTATAGAAGCAATGTCAAAACTGGCAGTAGAATCCAATTTCGGTAGTCTACTGTACTGAGGGTTTTAGTAGTTACTTCTCTTTTCGCATTGTTGCAAAGTGATAAGCCAGGAACTATTCAATATGTTCAATTATCGGGCAGGTTATTGAATGACTGCATTTCAGATGTCATTCCTTACGTTCACCCCTTGCATTGGCTCTGTGTGTTCAGCTGTTTTCGCATTGTTGCATGGCGCTTGCTGAATGTCCCAATTCTCCGATTGGTATGTCCTTTTTTATTGTCTTTTGTTCCATTTACCTCCACTTAGATAATGATGTCGGTCAGGCTCGGCGATTGCAACGCAATAGACGAGCGACGGATCAGTCCATCGCTTGTCCATCGCGTTACAATCGCCGAGTCTGACTGAGATCTTTGGTGTACCCGCACCTTGTTGAGTCTGAAGTTGAATAGGATTCAACAGCAGAAACAGCGTCACATTCATAATGTATATCAGCAGAAATCTAAAAACATACGCAATATACCGATTTTTCGCGTCTATCGTTGCGTGGGCGGAAGTGGTGTAGTGGCAAGTGGCGCGCTTACCACGCGAGCGGTCCGGGGATCAAATCCTGGGTCGTGAGTCGCCCGGGCCAACCAAGCCTTCCATCCCTCCGGGGTCGGTTAATTGGTACCAGACTTGTCTGGGAGGATAAAAACTGACTTGTACATCGGCTGGCCCCCGCAAGTCATTGTATAGGCCACATCGCATTCAATGCCACTACGAATGTACAAATGGAAGTAGAATGCGTGCCGCATCCCAAAACGGGATTGATCAACGGCAAATGCTTTAAGCTTTACGTGGGCATTTCCATGTGTATCTAACATTGTCCCCAGGATCCTATGAAAGCCTTAGCACTTCACTTTTACAGATCTTAAAAAATTCCTTTATTCTCAATAAATTTCTGTTTAGATGAAAATCCGTGGTGCGGTGTGCAGCCGTGCTTGACGACATCTGTTAATAGATCAGGATTGATTTTCTTTCTTCTTGCCAACGTCTTCACTGGTGTCGTTAATTTCGCTATCGACACACACCATACAGATGACGTGACAGCAATGTTTACACTCGTGTGCTATACGTTTAGTCTTTGTGCTATAGTACACTGGCGCGATTTCAAGAAACTGGCAAGAAAGCACTAAATTACAATAGATTCAAGTCATGAGTTGGTGACTTTTCTAAAAGTATTACATAGTATAACTGCCGATTTCTCACGCGCTATTTTGAAATGACAATGGCATTTGACTGTCAAATTCCTCTATTAGTTCGAGTATTGTAAATTGAAATTGTTCCATTTTGTTTTTTTTTTCTTAAATTCGCATTCACACTGGGCTATTTGTACTTATAAGTGCCATCTAATTCTCGGCTAATCACGTATTCTTCTTCTTGTGATGAAACCCATGCATATACCTCTGTCTCGGTTTTCAACGATTAGACCATCTGTGATAACGTCTGTTCTTCTGGGTTCTTTCGCGTGAGTGATTTCTATGGATGTAACCAAAGTTTATTTTGACTTATACAACGATCTCTTGCAGTGGGTTATGGTTGTGGTGTCTTTGATTGCGCCTGTCGCTTATTCTTGCCTTCTTGCTCACCTTATTTTCCTGGGTCTATGGGATGCAGTTTCTTGTTAAATATGTTCATATCTACTATTTCACTCATCTTTAAATCTATATTTATGTAAATTCGATAAATTCCATAACATTCGGAATATCCACTCTGACGTTCTTGTTGCAGCAAATTTCTTAACCATCGATTTTGAGAAAAAAAGCAACTAATTTCCGTTCAAGTGCATTCATTCTTTAACGAAGGCTCGGCCCATATGTGGGTGGCAGCTATTTGCCTTCATTTTACCACTCCATTCTGTTTCTTAGTTTTCGTGGATATAACCCTACCCATCTTATAGTCTTTCACAAACCTTCATAATATGCTTTTCTAGAGAAGAATCACTTCAACGCGCATAGAATTTGATGAGGACTCGTATTTTCTTTTTTCCGGTCACGTGTTTGTTTCTCGTTTTTGAAGTAGAGTAAAAATATAATAAAGTACTGTAAAACTTTGGCGTGACTTTTATGGCATCGCTTTTGGCCAGTTTCATAGCTTGGCCAGATAATTGCATTCCCACTATGAAGGTCTTCGATGCTCGTAATATTCGCCCGTATGGACTGAAGGTTGAATTTTGATTTGTTTTTGTTCGTTTTTCTGCCGATGTCGGTTAGTCCGCTCATCACGGCATTCGTTTGAGCACTTAATCAGATGTGGTAAATAACGCCATCAAAAGCTTAGTCAAGGTGAAAAGATGCACGAAAAGGTAAGTGGCAACACACCTACCCTTGACGAAATATCGGGTTCGCATCCCGTCGGAAAGGGAGAGCTTTGTCCATAACTCAGACACTTGCGATAACCAAAGGTCTGGTTAACAATTTGTAGAATTGAAATAATTTATCATAAATAAATCATGTTATGGACAAGAATTGTAAGCCTTGGTTTCTACAAGATTCACGGTAACGCTCAACCGTAACACAAGAGAGATATCTTAAGAGTTAGTGAGTACATGAAGATCAAGAAGGGAATTTACGATTTAGTGAGAATTTCGCGGGCATTTTCGCTGACGATATTCTCCATGGCCATTACATCTTTGCTCCAAGCCGCGATGCGATTGGCCATGGCAAGCACCTGAAGCCAATTTTCAGCCAACGTTCTTTAAATTGAACCGAAAATGTAAAATTTAAGTAACACTTTGGTAAGTAAGCAGGATGTAACAAGAACAACTCTTACCTGAGTTGTATTCAACACCCTAGGTTGTACCCATGTTATCAAAACAGTTTTATTGACTTGATCGATTGCACCACGGACCAAATCCTTGCTCAGCGCTTTCATCACAAGGAATTCAACCTGAAGCAATATTTCGCGCTAAAGCAAACCTCATTCCACGACTCAAAAAAGAGCAAAAAAATCACAAAAGCGAAAATGGCTTGAAGAGTAAAAGAGGGGCGCAAGAGTAATACTCACCTCGTTGTTAGGTACCTGGCACTTTGCTGCGATTTCCTTGAAGGTGATCTTACGCTCCTTCGAGGGACGAGCAAGAGCGAGCTGAAATTGGAACACAGCAATACCTCCACTGCAATCGACTCAGTTCACAACTTCTATGAGAGCAGTAACCTCAAGTAGGCATCTATATCCCGAAACTGTCCTGATATAATTGAGCGGAAAAGAATTTTCTAGGGAAAGGGAACTTAGGAGATTCAAATTGAAAATTGGTACTGGCACTTCCTCGACAATGACAAGGATCATACCAAGATTGGAACCGTACCTCCATGATTGCTAGAAGTCGGATTTTAGCCACAAGGAAATCCTTCTTCCTTTTTAGATCATCCCATTCTGACCAGTGCTTCTCCAAGGCGTAGAATTTATTGAGATCTCCACAGTTAAAGGCATACAGCACCTGAAGAAGTAACAGTAGGAGAATTTGCATAAATCAATTCGCTGCGATCAATACCCTTGAAATTATTAGAAAATTCAACTCTAGCAACTTGTAAAGTAAACCAAATGGAAAAAACCTACCTCAGACAACCATTTCTCACTGGATCCTTCCAGAGCTTGAGAGCGCTCCATTCAAACTCGTGGTCTGATCTAGCAGAAGAAACTCACCAATTCTCCAAAATTGTACACATTATCACCGAGTAGAGCAGCGAATCCAATTAATACAGCCTAAGCATGAGAATTCAATGAATTGCAAATTAGACAGTTTATTCCACCTCACCTGTACATGCTTCTCTTCAGCAGACATTTTATTAATGTCTTCAACACCGAGGTAACGAAGAGCTTCTCGATAGTATCCAGCAAAGTCGCCCACCTCTTTCAGATACATGGCACTCACCTAAACACGGATGAGGAAATTACCACAATCCTGAGCCTTCTGAAAAAGCAGCTTGCCCATACCTTATAAAAAGGAGCATGGGCCTCCGTGACTCCAACAAAGCTCTCGATCTCCTTCTGGGTCAACTCAATGAGATCCTAAAATAGTTCGAACTACCAGTAAATATTATGCAACCACAACCTCCCCTGAGACTAACCTGAGTGGACAGAAGACCTACCCGGACTTTTTTGATGTCAACCAATCGATCATTTCCATCCTTGTGGTTGAGCCGGAGTTCAATTTGACCGGCATGGATGCGTGCCAGAGCAACCTGAATCAGTACCCTGAATGCTATTCCAACTACCTTGTCACAACAATAACCGCGTGTTTATTCATTATCATTTAATATTAATACTGAATAATGGTTGGAAAGTATGGAGTGCTCGGTATTTGTATTGATCCATCTAGTTGCGCCATGCATTTCAAGTGCTTGATATTTGAAGCCATCCATCCATAATCCATACCATTACCATTCATAATAGTTGACATCTGCATAACCATAGCTTACCATAACCATACCATAGATCTCATAGGCATTCCATTTGAGAGATATGATTTTCATATCCCAGACGAATCTGGTACCAATTCACCGACCCCGAAGGGATGGAAGGCTTGGTTGGCCCAGTGCAAGAAATCAAACCAGCAATAGCCAAACGCTTGACTACTTCTGATAGTAAACAATACAAATCTAACAAAAAACCAACACAACACCGATAGTAACAGACTAAGTCAAAAATGTGCGAAAAAAAGCACTACAGTAAACAGGTAAACAGAATACTAAAGCAATATGGCGGGATATAGCAATCTAGACAAAATAAACGGCATGAAATAAACTATCACAATATTGTTTATAGATTTTATAAACCATTCAGAACTAATATGTAAAGGGACAAACAGAAAACAAAAAAGTTCACATCTCTCCAATGCATTGATTGATGTCAACTGATATTACGCCTACCACAAAGAAACAAAATTGAACAACCGTTCAGCGATCCAAAGCATAAAAATTAAGAGGAGATGGGTT